TTTTTTTTTTTTTTTTTTTTTTTTTTTTTTTTTTACAGCTGCATAGTATTCCATAGTGTAAATGTTCCACAACTTTTTTATACATTCATCTACTGATGGCACGTGGGCTGTTTCCAAATATTGGCTATCATAAATAATGCTGCTATGAACATAGGGGTGCAGATGTTCTTTATGATTGGTGTTTTGGAGTTTTTTAGGATATATTCCCAGAAGTGGGATCACTGGGTCAAATGGGAGTTCCAGGGAGAGCCAAGATGGCTGCGCCCAGGTGAACACCTAGCCGCAGCCGCACACAACAATTTCAATAAAATACAACTAAAATATAAAACGGACATTGCCCAGAATTACAGGAAGGTTGACTGACTGGAAATTCTACAGCGAGAAGCAAGGAGAAAACCAGAAGGAGGCACGGAGGAGTTGGAAAAGCCCAAGGTACGGAGATGCGGTGTGCGGAGAGGACAGAGCCAGAGAGGAGGGGGAGACGGAGTGCCTGGTGGGCGTTCCCTAGTGGAAAGGAGATAAAACTCTGACTGTGCTGGGCCCCCGACTGCTCTGAACCCCAGTTCTAGGCCAGACCCCGGGGACTCAGGCTCAGCCATAGAGAGCCGTGCTGTAAGGCGGAACCCCGGGGGAGCGACGAAAGGAGGTCCCGGCGGCGGTGCGCACACTGTGCGCAGAGAAGGGACGGTCGGCTGTGCCGCGGGATTGCCCTGACGGGAAGGAGACTGGGGCTCCAGACTGCTCTGAACGGCACCTCCAACTCCACTTCCAACTGAACTGAACCCCAATACCAGGCTCATTGGGGGAGAGCATAGACTGTTTGGCAGCAGGCGAAAATCGAGGGCACCTTTCTCTCAGAGGCGCCGGCAGCGAGCACTGAAGGACCCGCATAGGGTCGGGCTGACGGAAGCCAAAGCTGCAGGCTCCACCCTGAAACCCCGTCCCATCTGTAACTGCGAAATGTGACAACAAAATAGATCACAAACGAAAGAAATGGAGGACAAAAAGCGTCTGGATATAGAGTTCAAATCTATGCTTATAAGGTTTTTCAAGAATTTCCTAGAAAAGATGGATAAGGCCTATGAGGATATGAAAAGAGATCAACTAGAATTAATAAGGAGTCAACAAGAAATGATAAGGGATCAACAAGAAATAAAGAATACATTGTCTGAAATAAAAAATATTTTACAGAGTCCTAAAAACAGAAGGGAAGATCGCAAGAATCAAGTCAAAGATTTGGAACATAAAGAGGCAGAAGACACTCCTCCACAGAAGCTAGAAGGCAAGAGAATCCAGAAAATTGAAGATAATGTAAGAAACCTCTGGGACAACTTCAAGCGAACCAACATCAGAATTATGGGGGTCCCAGAAGATGAGAGAGAGCAAGATATCGAAAACATACTGAAAGAAATAGTGACAGAAAACTTCCCCCACCTGGTGAAAGAATTAGACTTACAAGTCCAGGAAGCTCACAGAACTCCAAACAAAAGGAATCCAAAGAGGACCACACCGAGACACATCATTATTAAAATCCCAAGAGCAAAAGACAAAGAGAGAATATTAAAAGAAGCAAGAACAAAGAAGGTAGTAACCTATAAAGGAGCACCTATACGATTGTCAGCTGACTTCTCAACAGAAACCATGCAGGCCAGAAGGGAATGGCAAGAAATATTCAAGGTGATGAATAGCGAGAACCTACAGCCAAAAATAATCTACCCAGCAAAGCTATCACTCAGAATCGAAGGCCAGATAAAGAGCTTCACTAATAAAAAAAAGCTAAAGGAGTTCATCACCGCCAAACCAGAATTATATGAATTGCTGAAGGGGGTTCTTTCAGAAGAGAAAGTAAACAAAGATAAAAATTATGAACAACAAATACGTAACTATCAACAAGTGAATCTAAAAACCAAGGAAATTAAAAAAATCTGATGAACAATATTAACTGTTGAATATAATAGAATCAGAGGTATGGAAGAGGAGTGAACTGACGATTCTTGGGAAAAAGGGGAGAGGGGGGCGTGGGAAGAGACTGAGCATAAACTGTGCACCTATGGATGAGGACAATGGGGAGAGGGGAAAGGGCAGAGGGTGGGTGGGAACCTGGTGGAGGAGAGCAATGGTTGGGGGGAAAAAAAGGAACATTTGTAATAATATGAACAATAAAAACTTATTAAAAAAAAAGATATACCACAAAAAAAACCCACAAAAAAAACCAAATGGGAGTTCCATTTTTAATTTTTTTAAAAATATATTTTATTGATATTTTACAGAGAGGAGGAAGGGAAAGAGATAGAGAGCCAGAAACGTCGACGACAGAGAAACATCGACCAGCTGCCTCCTGCACACCCCCTACCGGGGATGTGCCTGCAACCAATGTACATGCCCTTGACCGGAATCGAACCTGGGACCCTTCAGTCCGCAGACTGACGCTCTACCGCTGAGCCAAACTGGTTTTGACCCATTTTTAATTTTTTGAGAAAACTCCATACTGTTTTCCATAGTGGCTGCACCAGTCTGCATTTCCACCAGCAGTGAACTAGTGTTCCCTTTTCTCCACATCTTTGCCAGCATGTGTTGTTTGTTGATTTTTATTTTTATTATTTTAAAAATGTATTTTATTGATTTTTTGCAGAGAGGAAGATGAGAGTTAGAAGCATCATTGAGAGAGAGACATCAATCAGCTGCCTCCTGCACACCCCCCACTGGGGATGTGCCCGCAACCAAGGTACATACCCTTGACCAGAATCGAACCCGGGACCTTTCAGTCCTCAGGCCGAAGCCACTGAGCCAATCTGGTTTTGGCTGTTTGTTGATTTTTAAAATGATAGCCATTCTGACAGGTGTGAGGTGATATCTCATTGTGGTTTTAATTTGCATTTCTTCAATGATTAGAGACTTTGAGCATGTTTTCATATGCCTCTTGATCATTCATTCGTATGTCCTCTTTGGAGAAATGTCTATTCAGGACTTCTGCCAATGATTTTTTATGGTGTTATTGTTGTTGTTTTGTTAATCCTCACTCAAGAATATTTTTAAAAATATGTTTTTATTGATTTTAGATAGGAAGGGAGAGGGAGAAGGCCAGAGAGAGAAACATCAATTGGAGAGGAAGGGAGAGGGAGAGAGAGAGAAACATCAATGATGAGAGAAAATCATTGATTGATGCCTCTTACACTCCTTCTACTGGGGATGGAGCCCACAACTCCGGCATATGCCCTAACGGAATAGAACCGTGATCTCCTGATTCATAGGTTAAAACTCAACCACTGAGGCACACCAGCCGAGCCCTTTCACTGCAGAAATATTAATGTTGGATTATAGGGTGCTGTACCGTATCCTACTTGGGTGTTTGGTATATACAGCTGGAAATATCTGAACTCCAAAACATTTGGCTCTAAGGGTTTGTGGATCTGTAATACTTATAGGATAATTGTAAAGATTAAATGCCACATATTAATAACTTAATAAATGTTGGTGACTAGCATTACTATACTGTGTCCTTTCTAAAGGCCCACTTTGTAGAAAGCTATGAGTTGAGGAAGTGCCAAAGTAATCACAGGTAGACTCATTGATGTAGGTGAATGTCAAGACTCCTGATTTGAGCCTAGATTGTATACACTGGACCTTGGTCATGCCTGGAGGCCTGGTGATGGTCTGGGGAATACTTGACAAGGTTCTGGAAACTGAGGAGCCAAACACCTTCTTGGGAAAACACTGCAGAGAGGGGAAAAGGGGGAATTAAGGGGTACAAGTTTAAGGGAAGACCAGGAGCTTGAGCGAAAGAAACGATTTGGAATACAGCAGAGTATTTCTGCCTCCATACTCCAGTTCCCATGGACTTCTGCCTGCAGAAGGGGACTGCAAGGCAAGAGCAAGTAACAGCTGGTCCTGGCAACTCAGCATCCAGTTGGGAATATCTTCACTACAGGATTCAGCCCTCTAGTGGCTTGGGCTGGGGAGGGCAGGTGCTCCTGCAGAGAACACTGGGGTAGGACCGTAGGCCAACACCACTACAGCAGCACTTCTGGTGGACATAGGCACCCTTGCCATTTTGGTCATCTACAGTGACTGGAGGGGGCCCAAGGCGTGTGAGGAAGAACAGTGAAGAGGAGGAGCCAGGAAAATACTGTTTAGTGAACAATATTATGACTCTCTTTTTACTCCTAGCCGGTTGTGACCTGGGAAATTTAGGCTTCAGATGGAGAATAGAATAAACAAAAGAAAGGACAAGAGAGGGTTGTAGAAAGAAAAGATCATGTTTGAGTTGTAATTAAGTTGCTCTCAAATCTGTCCTTTTCTGAGCCTGGAGTGTCCAGCAAATCATGCCACAGCTCTCATGTACAGCGACACAGTGGGATCTCTATCTTCCCAGGCAGCTAGTGGGAGCGATGACCAATAGACAAAGACTCTCAAAACCATAAGGCAAGTGCTAGGAAGGGACATTTTCCAGCTCATTTGTGTAACTCCCAAATAAAGCAGATGCCATTTTCAAATGTGCTTTTCTTGGCCTAATGTTCTTTTCTTTTCTTTTCTTTTCTTTTCTTTTCTTTTCTTTTCTTTTCTTTTCTTTTCTTTTTTTTCATGATTAAGGGCAGATCAACTCATTGCAGCACAGTTAACGTTAATTTGGGATTATGTTAGCATTCTAAGTGCTTAATGATGAATGACTCATATGTCAGGCTGTGACAAAAGGCTTCACACTTCAAGCAAGAGATGCCTGGTTCTAGCACATTATTAATTTCTGAAGCTTAAATCCAGGATAAGTGGATTTAGGAGGTTAATTCCTCTTCTATTATAATTCCTTGTAATACATTTGGTCTCTTCTCTCCCATCTTCTACTTCCATATGTTGTCTGATATGGAGGGAGGTGGGGAGAGAGAGAGAGAGAGAGAAGAAAAACACTATTTTTGTAATGAGAAGTTTCTTCAAGAAGACTCTTAATCCCAAGATTTTTTTTTTTATACTATAAATTCAGGGAAGAAACAGTGCTTTCTGCAAAGGGGTTTATTGGGGTGATTCAATCAACGAAGTATTCCTGAGGAGTCAGGCAGGCAAGACTTATGGGAAGGCTGAGGGGGGTTGATGGCGTGCAGGAGCAAGGACCCAACTCTGGGAGGGTATAGGAAACCACCCAGGCCTGTCCTGACTGCACAGAAAGACTAGATTAAAACTAAGGTGAGGCTGGGATTCGATGGGCCTGAGAGCATCGCTGGTGTCCAGAGGCCAGAGAAGCTGCAGGCTGGAGCTTGCAGATGTGCATCCGCCTAGGTGCTCCAGAGGACCACGATCGTGATGATGGAGGTGGCCATGAAGAGCAGGTAGAGGCGGAACAGCAGGGCATCCATCATGTGGCTGAACTGTACCCACAGGCTGACCAAGTGCTGCTTCTGAGCCTCGTCTTCCGGCTGGCCCCTTGCTGACTCAGGGCACCAATTTAACTCTGCCTTTCGGGGACCTGGTGCCTTCCCCACCAACTCCATGGGCTCCTTCCTACCTGAGGAGAGACAGAGACCCAGGCATGGGCTGCAAAGGTCATTTGAGGGTGGAGAGGAACAGGGAAGGAGGCAAGAACAGAGAAGTAGAGGTGTTACAAGAGGAAGTGAGGGCAGTGCTGACTTCATTACCAGGCAGTTGGATGGGGGTGAGACGCAGGCCCTTGTTTCCCTTCTGGGGTTCAGTGAGACAGTGTTCCCTTGGACTGGTGCAGTGCAGAAGCAGGGAGCAGAGCCACCGGGGCATGGGTGGGGGCTGGGTGGTGACCAGGTGCAGCAGGTAGGTGATGAACACGGTCTCCAGCAGGCTGAGCACCATTAGGGAGAGACACAGGGCGAAGTAGACACCTGGTGAGAAGACAAGCCTATGTGAGGGCCAGTGACAAGTCCCAGGACTTCTTGTTTCCTATTTTCTTTTAAGCACCCTTTTTAAAGATTCATTTTCACACTGAACTGGTTCCACTATTCTCTCTCCCCACCTCATGCCCCCAACCTTGCTTTTATTCTCCTGAAAGAGGGAGGGGCCATACTGATGAGGGGGGTGCCTGTGTCCGGGAGTAAGTCGTTCATCAGGAGCAGGAAGACGTTGTAGCCCAGCAGAAGGGTTATCTTGAATGGCGCACGGCTCTCGCTTTCTGCAGGCAGGAAGAAGCTGAGGGCATCAATGGCCATCAGAAAGCCACTGGGCACCAGGAGGTTTATGATATAGAGGAAGGGCCTGCGCCTGATGATCACCTGATAGGGAGGAGAGAGGGGTCATGTGAAGAGTGGGTTAGGAGGCTGCCAAGCAAGTTAAGAGCAAGAGTTGAGAATTGGCCTGGTCAGTGTGGCTCAGTGATTGAGCGTGAACCCATGAATCAGCAGGTCACAGTTCAATTCCCAGTCAGGGCACATGCCCAGGTTGCAGGCTCGATCCCCAGTACAGGAGACAGCTGATCAATGATTCTCTCTCATCATTGAGGTTTCTATCTCTCTCTCCCTCTCCCTCCCTCTCTCTTTGAAAATGAATAAAAACATCTTTGTTTGTTTTTTTCATAAAGAGTTGAGATTTGTCCCAGAGCAAACTGTCTAGTAAGAAAAAGTCACATTCACTGTCCTGTCTCTTCAACAGAGTCATCTTAATCACCACAGTCTGCCTTCCCAGGGTTTGATTTTTTCCATGCTGCTTACTACAGAAACATATCTCATTCCTTCTTGGCTCAAAGTGCCAACTTTTTCTACTTACATTTTTATCCCTACCAATGTGCTCTTAGCAAGGTTGAGGGACCAGATTCTTAGATTATCATGTGCATTTTATCCTGTATTTCTGCCTTCTCTCCTCATCAAGGTCTAATATAGTGAATTTGCTAGAAAATTTAAGACAAACGGGAGGGAAAGTAAGACAGTGGCAGATACTGTAGGGTCACTAGGATTTGAAATCATATCCCCAAGATAGTGTTTCATAACTTTCCCACCATCTCTTTTTATTTAAAAAAAAACTTTATTGAACTTATTGGTGTGACATTGGTTAATATAATTATATCAGTTTCAGGTGTTCAATTCTACGGTACATCATCTGTGTATGGTATTGGTTGTTCACCACCTCAAGTCAAGTCACCTTCCATCACCATTTATCCCCCCCTGTACTCTCTTTTACCTCCCTCCCCACTTTCCCTCTGGTAATCACCAGACTGTTGCCTGTGTCTTGCACCATCTCTTCGAAAAGGTGAATGTAAAAATTCAAGCCCTCCAAAAAGTTCTGATGTCCCTAGGTTGGAACGCTCCCTCTCACTGTAATCACTGCCATAGGAGCTTTGTTTCTTTGTCAGGGAGGATTGATTCCATCAATATTTACTGAGTGCTAGATACTGTGCTAGGTACTGGAGATTTATCAGTGAAAAAAGTGATAAAAATCTCTGCTTGTGTAAAGCTTATTTTCTAGTGGGAGAGCTTATGCTCTAGGGAGGGACATAAGCTATGCATCTTAGGAGGAAATCATAAACCAGGGCCCCTGAGCTCACATAGAAAATGATTAGGTCGTACTGGCTGTTGTCCAGAGTCATCTTCTCCGTACTCTGGTGGATATCCAGAAGTATCCACTCCCCCTTGTTCTGAATGAGCTTCTGTGATGTGTCAGAAATCTCCTGCACTTTCTTCTCCATGCCCAGGACCATGTTCTCCACTGCAAAGAGATCCAGACGACTCAGCCTCCCCAACTCAACCTCCTTGCCCAGACTGTTAGATTTCTCACCACTTTGCTTCCACATCACTTTCAGTGAGATTCCCTCACTGTTCCCAGCTTCCTGTTCTCTCCTCTTCCAAAACCCTTTCTCTGCATCTCAACAGACTACTGTATACGAGCTTCACTCACCTGTGTACAAGAAAGAGGAGAAGCTGAATGTGCAGTTTTGTTCATCAAAGGGGAAATAGAAGATGTCCAGGTTACAGATGCTGGTCACCTTCATTGGCTTATCATATCTGATGCGCCCTTCACTGGTGACATAAGCATTGAGCCCTCTAGGTGTTTGATCTATATCCATGCTGTTCAGAAGGAAGATGAGGAGGTGGGTGCTGCGGTTCCCCATTAGGCTTGGCCTTCTTTCTCTCTCAGGTCCCCTCATTCCTGTGCTCCAGCCCCACTTGTCTGGTCTCCCCCTTCTACCTATCTCCATGTTCTGGGGATTTTGTAAGTTCCTCAGTTCAGATTCTGCTCCTTTATGTGTCTTTGTGTGGCCCCTATGGACTACATCATGCTCCTCTCTGCAGATGTGGTTTCCTTCTTGCCTTTTTCATCCTTGGTACTCACAACTCATTGATGACGACATCTGGAAGCCACAGGTTCTCAGTTGCTATGCTGAGCTTATTGATGCCCCCACATTCCTCTGGGTTCCAACTGATGAATGGATTGTACCAGATCTAAAGGAAACCATGACATGGGCAAATGGGCTAGGAACTAGTATTTTTAAATATATATATATATATATATATATATATATATATATATATATATATATATATATATAAAATTGATTTTTGTGCAGAGAGGAAGGAAGAGGGATAGAGAGTTAGAAACATCGATGAGAGAGAATCATCTATCAGCTGCCTCCTGCACTGAAGATGTGCCCGTAACCAAGGTACATGCCCTTGACGGGAATCAAACCTCAGACCTTTCAGTCCGCAGGCCGAGGCTCTATTCACTGAGCCAAACCGATTTTGGCTGGGAACTAGTTTTAGTCCTGCTCTATTTTCTGCACTTTACATTTCTTTTTTCACTCATTTCTCTGGTGACAGCTGCCACAATGTCACTAACAGCCTTACTTACTTCCACTTCTTTTTCAGAGCTTTCAAGGGAGACCTCGAGTTTGGATTTGGATTTCGTTGGGTGGAGCCATTTAAATATCGGCTTCCATGACCTTTGTTTATTCTACCTTCTCCCTGTGCCCCATCTCTTCCCTCCTCAACTGGCAGAATAGTCACGAAGCTTTGTGTTTTCATTATTGGTCTCAGTCTGTTTGAACTTTCTAATTCATTGGTATTCTCAGCTTTATACATTGTAATCTGCAAAGTTGGACTGAGGAGTAGAAAAAGGAAGGTACTATAAGTAAAGAAGAAACTATGAATATCATACCACATTTAGCCACAGGAATGATGTCATCAGTTGAAGCTGTGCATTCTGGAAAGACAATTTTCAATCCAGGATCGTTAATAAATATATGAAGTCAGGTCCAATGCCAACACTTACCTCTCACTCATTTCCAGTGTGGCGATCATCATTTTTAATCATAAGCCACTGAGAAATGTAGGTCAAATAATCCAGGGCACATGAGAAACATAAGAGAAAGAAAGCAGTATGAGGCCATTGGGATTATGTTTCTTGTGGACTATTTCAAAAAGGGACAGACTTTACCTGCAGTAATATTGTAGCATTCCCTCTCATGTTCCTCTACCCATAGAATGAGCTCTTAATTTTACAAATTCCAATGAGGAGACCCACAGGTTACCACTATATTATTGCAGTGTTGGGTCAGGACTTACCACTTCCAGGATGGCAGACAGGGTGAAGGAGATGTTGACTTGAGTGGGGATGCTGTGGTTGATGACTGGACGGAAGGCCTTTCTGTCAAACACTGCTTGGAAGGCAGCAGGATCCACCCCATGCTGGTCAAACCCTGAGCAATTGATGGTGAAATTGTCGGCTCTTCCTATAGAGAGCGGAGACTCTGTGAGAGAGGGTCTCCATGGCCAGGGCTGGGGCTTGGGGAGGGTTTCTGCACAGTGAGAACATAGGGGGCATGGGAGAAGCATATGCTCTCCTCCTTCCTGAGCAGGGAACATGGGCTGAGCTGGTAGGCAAATGGTGGAAGTCGATGAGGTGAGCTGAGTCAGGGCTCCATCCTTAATTCCATTGATTCTGTCTCCATGCAAAACTTATCCAAAGGTGCATGCAAACTCAGCCCTGACCACTGCTTTTCAGTGTCCTGCTATGTTCTTAACAATCTCACCACCAACCTTCCCACCTCCAGGCAATGTCCTTCCATTGCTCATCTCTGTCCTTGAGCCATCTGGGTGATGTGCTAGTGACAAATTTTGCAACCACAGTTCTCTTTCTCCCTATATTACTAAGGTGTAGATGATGATAAATTAATGAAGAGGGGAGTAATCAGATAGGTAGTATGAGATCAGGCACGTTCAGGGTGGCGTGGCCTTACACGTTGTTGGCATCAAGTATGTAAGTAGTATGAGATATGTGAGACCTTAAAGAAGGGACCCAATTTTTCAATTTAATGAATATTTAAATGAGTTTCTACTATGTGCCGTGATTGTTCTGTTCTAAAACTCAGCAGTCATCACCACTGAGACTACTTTTTATTTTTTGTTAATACTCACATGAGGATATTTTTTCCATTGATTTTTGGAGAGAAAGAAAGAGGAAGGGAGAGAGAGTGAGAAAGAGAGAGATCAATCTATTTGAGAGAGACACATTGATTGGTTGCTTTCAGCACCAGAGATTGAATCTGCAATCCAGGTATGTGCCCTTGACTGAGGATTGAACCTAAGATCCTTTGATGTGAAGACTGTTACTCTAATCACTGAGCAACACTGGCCAGGGCACCACTGAGACTATCTTTTTAAAAAATATATTTTTTATTGATTTCAGAGAGGAAGGAAGAGGAAGGAAGAGCTAGAAACATCAGTGATGAGAGCAAATCATGACTGGCTGCCTCCTGAGCTCCCCACACTGGAGATTGAGCCTGCAACCCAGGCATGTGCCCTGACCGGGAATCAGACCATGACCTCCAGGTTTATAGGTCAATGTTCAACCACTGAGCCACACTTCCTGGGCTGAGACTACCTTAAAGAGAGTTCCTTGATACCAATCTTATACCCAACCCCTTTCTAGTCTTACTTTGTGGAGTAGAAACAGAGAATGATGTGGTAACATCTATTTTTACTTATTGATCTTTGATGTTATACTCTTCCTGGTTGCTCATTTTCAATAATGAACAGGAAAAAAATACTCTAGACTGGGAAAAATTTTCCTGGAAAAGTTTTCATCTTCATAACATTTTATCCACATTCTTTCCTTTAGCTTCCTTCCTGTTCCATTTCATTTGTTTCAAGAGAGCTAAAAAGGAATTTTCTTTTTAACATTACCTGATATTCAGAAACCATGGGAATGGATTATACGCTTGGAAAGAGAAAGACACAGGGAAGAGGAGAACAATCGAAGCAGGAGAGTGATGAAGTAACTAGAGAGAAGAGTGAACTAACTGTTAGGATCCTAGAAAAAGGTACAAAGCTGTCAGTGTTATAAGTTTCTGTTTTCACCAAAATGAATATCCAATCATTGGCTGCCTAGGAATAACAAGAATTAGCCTGGTTTCTCTGTTCCCCAAAGTTATATGTCTGCTTTGCTCCTGCTCTTGTCCCGTCTTACCTTGAAGCAGCAGGTGGAAAAGGAGGCAGAGGAGGAATCCCTCCCCATGGAGCCAGCCTCTTTCCATCCTCCTCTCCTTGGCTCTTCTCTGGAGACAGTGGTGATGTTGACCTTAAAAAGGCCACACCTAGAGCCCTAGCTTTGAATAACAGAGGTGTCGGGTGGCATTAGTCACCCCTCTATCAAGCACCCCTGGTGCTAAAAAAATGTCATGGAGGACTACCCACCCTGAGACCTAATTGGACCTGAATCTAATCTCCAAAATTAATCTGGAAAATCAGTTTGCAGAGGAGGAAGCAAAAATATTTGGTCACTGGAGCAGTGCCTATGACCTCCTCATACTGTGGAGTCACTTTGGCATACAATGCATCCTACAGAGTAACACAATGTCTGCATTGTCTTCAAGTGATTCATGCACTTGTTTTAACCCTCTTGCCATCTTTTTTCTTTTTTAAATGGTGTCTCCTTTTTTTTTTTTTTTTTTTTATAACCAACTTTAGACTCTAAGGTTTTAAACATGACTCCAGTACTGATAGGTCTTAACTTTTGATTTTTTTTTGAGTGTATCAAAAGCAACATGGACCCAGGTCTACTGGATGGAGGGAGTGATTAGTGGGGTAGAGGGGAGGTGGCAGAATATTGCTTTTAGTAGAAGTTAACTTATGAGGTTATGAACGATCAGCCTGCAAGTTTATGTTGTTTGGGGCAGTGCCAAAGTTTTAAAGAAATTAGTTGTTGCCCGGCCAGTGTTGCTCAGTGCTTGAGTGTCGGCCTGTGAACCAGGAGGTCAAGGTTCAATTCCCAGTCAGGGCACATGCCTGGGTTGCAGGCTTGATCCCCAGTAGGGGGCGTGCAGGAGATAGCTGATCAATAATTCTCATCATTGATGTTTCTATCTCTCTCTTTCCCTTCCTCTCTGAAATCAATAAAAATATATTTTAAAAAAAGAAATTAGTTATCAACATTTTGGAATTGGGAGACTTCACATAAAAACTGTGTTTCCAGATTCATTTGAAAAATATGATCAAGGAATACTGGGCTCACATTTCTGCTTGACAACAATGGGGTAAAAGCTAAGAAACAGTTAAGCCCTGTGGTAGAGCAATCACAGTTTGTCACCAACTGTTGTTTTATTCCTGACCAGCTCCCCTCATTTATGTTATCTGCTTGGTCTCTCTAGGTGTTTGAGCTGGTTTTGACTGTTAAGATTGATTTTCTTGCCGAAACCGGTTTGGCTCAGTGGTAGAGCGTCGGTCTGCGGACTGAAAGGTCCCGGGTTCGATTCTGGTCAAGGGCATGTACCTTGGTTGCGGGCACATCCCCGGTAGGGGGCATGCAAGAGGCAGCTGGTAGATGTTACTCTCTCATCGACGTTTCTAGCTCTCTATCTCTCTCCCTTCCTCTCTGTAAAAAATCAATAAAATATATTTTTTTTAAAAAGATTGATTTTCTTGTGTGATTCTTTAGAACAAAAAAAATTTTTTTTAATTGATTTTATGGAGGAAGAGAGAGATAGAAACATCAATGATGAAAGAGAATCATTGATTGGCTGCCTCCTGCAAGCCCCACAGTGGGCATCAACTCTGCAACCTGGGCATGTGTCCTGACCAGGAGTCAAACTGTGACTTCCTGGTTCATAGGTTGATGCTCAAAGGGCCTTGAGAAGTAATTTCAAAATATCATGTCCTGCCTAGGTGATCAGAGGTCTCATCAGATTTAGGGTGTGCAAATATTTGGTTCATAGAGGAAACCAGACATGGTATAGTTAAGTGGGCCAAAATAATCAATGGTTTAACTTGTTTTCTCTAGAATTATTTCTGTCAGGAAAGACTCCAGAGAGGGTAATCAGTGGTTTTGAGAACAAATGGAGAGCAGTTGAGTCAATAAAGAAGCTTTAGAATGAGTAGGTAAGGTGCAGGAAGATGGGTCTAAGACCAGATCCTGTTTCTATTGGAATAATTTCACTTTCAGCCTCAGATTTCTTATCTCTGAAATTTGAAGGATGGTTCAGCCAGCATGGCTCAATGGTTGAGCGTTGACCTATGAACCAGGAGGTCACGGTTGAGGCTTGATCCTCAGTGTGAGGCATGAAGGATGCAGCTGATGGATGATTTTTCTCTCAACGTTGATGTTTTTATCTCTCTCTCCCTCCTCCTTCCTTTATGAAATCAATAATAATAATAATAATTGTTAAAAATAAATAAATACGTACAAATTTTTAAAAAATCAGATGAAACCTATCTTGCAGGAGTTTTATGTGGTTAGAGATAATGTATGTGTAGTGCCTTTCCATCCTGAGCAATTAACAAATTGAAGCAGAAATAATGGCAGTAATAGTTACTGTTATCCTGGCTCACCTGAGATTTGCTTGGGTTACTTCAGGCAGAATGGAATCTTCTGGACTTAAGCTGTCTGGTTTGACTGAAGCCACCTTGTTCCTATAAGCGCTTTTCACTCAGCCTCACTCAAGTAGGTACTGATAAGGTCCATCCCTCTGCTTTCCACCGCTGGAGTTCCTTTCCTGTTGTTATTTCACATTCAAATAAGTCTGAGAAATACTGAATTAAAAAAGGCTAAATAGGGTTTTTTTGTGTGTGTGCTTTGGTTTTTATTTTATTTTTTTATTAATCCTCACCAGAGAATATTTTTTCCATTGATTTTTAAAAAATATATATTTTTTATTGATTTAGAGAGAGAAATAGAAACATCAGTGATGAGAGAGAATCATTGATCGGCTGCTCCCTGCACGTCCCCAATTGGGGACCGAGCCCACAACCCAGGCATGATCCCTTGACCAGAGCTCAGGACCCTTTAGTCATGGACTGATGCTCTATCCACTGAACCAAACTGGCTAGGTCTAACTAAATAGGTTTTATTTCTCAGAGTATTTATCTAAAATTTGTTCATGTGACTTGAATACCATATACATAATTTTCCACTTAGTTGACTTTGATAATTTCTGCATCTCAGAATATCTTGCTGGACTAGTACTCCATTGATTATTTGGGGGTAGGAGGGGTGGAAATTGCTTTAGTTAAATAGAATAAATCCAGAAGAAAAAAAATTACTACAAGTTTAAAAAATTGTCTTAAAACTTACTATAGATAGAATATAGCAGCGTTTTTCAACCGCTGTTCCGCGGCACACTAGTGTGCCGCGAGATGTTGCCTGGTGTGCCGTAGGTGCAGACAAGACAAGAATTTTATAATTTTTCACTATTTTGTTTACTTAATATTTCATAATAAAGTAATTATAAAATACTTTCTTTGTGTTTATTTGATTCCTATTCAAGAGAATTACTTTATATATAGTCAATATAGGTACAGAATTAAATTTTTTAACATTTTCTAATGGTGGTGTGCCTCGTGATTTTTTTCATGAAACAAGTGTGCCTTTGCCCAAAAAAGGTTGAAAAACACTGGAATATAGCATGCAAGTTGCATATGTACAAATAAATAATTTAAAAATAGATAAGTATCTTATTATTGTTTGTTAATCTCACCCGAGGATATTTTCCCATTGGTTTTTAGGGAGAGTGAAAGAGAGAGGGAGAGACAGAAACATCGATGTGAGAGAAACACATCCACTGGTTGTCTCCTGCGTGAGCCCAGCCAGAGCCCTGGCCAGGGAGGAGCCAGCAACCAAGGTAGATACATGCCCTTGACTGGACCCTTAGGTCCACAGGCTGACGCTCTCTATCCATTGAGCCAAACCAGCTAGAACTAGGCAAGTATTTTAAAACCTGAAATTTTATCTGAGCTACAAAAATCTACAAGCAAATAGAAAGTAAAATATGAATTGCAAGTTGTTTCCGAATCTCTGGGCAATATAAAGTTCGACTCAAGGAGGAATATTTTTCCTTTTCTTTTTCTTTAGATCAACGGGCTGTCAGCTGCAGGCCACATATCATCCACCTAGATCTATATCTAATTTTGGGATAAGCATTTAAAAAGATGCTTGGGTATTGTTACTTCTCAAATACACTCCGTAACTTTTTAGTAGCTGAAAAGTAACAGGAAGTTTTTCATTAGTGGCCTTGGGATCAGTAAAGCATACAATTTTTGTTTTAAGAATACATATTATTTCAGCCTGGGACTCCATAAATGAACTATTTGGAATGAAAATGAAACACAGCTTGTATAGATGTTTAGTTTTTCTGATCTGACATCTGTGCCAAAAAGGTTATCACCAATGTAGACCAAAGTTCTTTATCTCCTCTTCTGATAAAAAAAAAAAACACCAAAAACCCACAAGCACCAGTATTTATAAAGCAAGACATTTGGGAAGTGCCTCGACCTGTTTGGGGCAGAAGGTTCCATGGTGGCTGGGCTGCTGGTTCCGGCCTCCCTTAGTGAGACTCTACGGCCTTACAGGTGTCCAGCCGTACTTTTCAGTAACGGAGGAGAGTCCGCATGTGCCTGTTACCGTTAGAGATGCTGGGCATTCTGTGTCCTTCTCTTCATTTCAGTAAATAATGCTTCATTATTACTCTGGGAGGATTAACATCCCAAGGCATGCCTATGGGCTGTGGTGTTTGTTGTTTTTAGCTGAGTAGATTTAGATGGCTTGTTCTGGGTGGAGGGAACAGCTAGAGTAAAAACATGGAAATTACAGTGTTGCCAGGACCTCAGATTTGAGTAGGAGAGCGGCAGGAAACGAAGCTGTGGTATTATGTGGGGCCCGATCACGGAAGGTCTTGCAGACCAAACTGAAGTTGGTTTAATGCCCAGTGTCTCCCAAACTTGCATAAGGTTCAGACCTATTTGAAGGGAAATAATGATCCTAAAGCTCTGATGCTTATTTAAATTTATATTATAATATTACTTAAATATGTACTTCCAGGAACCCATGTATAAAGTCCTTCTACTTACTGCTCTTCTACTACTATAAAGTTAACTTTAATGTACACACAAGACTGCAGAATCAAAACAACACTAATTTAATGTGCTGGATAATATTATTTTGCTAACATTAGATAGTTGCTATACATCATTTTCTTTTTAATAAGGAACTAGATTTTGAACACCTCTCTGTTATATTTGAGGTCAATTTGATAGTGCATCTCAA